GGAGATACAGAAGAGAAGAAAAGGGTGCACCTCATTAACTAGGACACTGTCTATAGGCCCAAGGAGAAAGGAGGCCTAGGCCTTAGAAAGACAAGAGAAATTTTTTTGCCACACTTGCTAAGTTAGGTTGGAAAGTCAAGGAAAACAAAGACACCATGTGGGTGAAAGTTATTAAAGAAAAATACATTAAAAACACCTCACAAGAATGGAATAAAAAACCAATGGATCCACAATTTAGAGAGCTATCCTTAAGACTAAACAAATTATTAAGGAACTAAATGCCTCATTGGAAATGGTCAAAACATTTCTTTTTGGACTGATTGGTGGTGTGGAGATTCCTCTATTGCAAACAGAATGCAAGTTCCAGGTACAGCTGATCCCAACACCAAAGTGGCAGATTTCATCGACCCCTCCAGTAACTGGAATTTGAATCAACCAAGTATGCTCCTACCCCTAATGTTATATCGGACATTCAGCTCACTAGTATCCCTTTGTAATAGTGATATGATTAACACCCCATGCTGGGGCCTTTATAATAAAAGTATTTTCACAGTTGGCACTGCCTATAAATGGATTACTAAATCTGATGAGAACAATAACCCTTTGTATCTAAGCTGGGAATAGATTTGGCATATGAAAATTCCACAAAAACTCAAAATTTTCCTTTGGCTTGTCCAAAGTGACAGAATCTTGACTAATAACCTCAAGGCGACTAGAAACATGATCAATGATGCGACTTGCGAGAGATGTAAAGCCTACTGTGAGTCCACTTTACATACCCTAAGAGACTGCTCCAAAGCACAGGCAGTCTGGAGAGCTCTCGTAGGAAACAACTAGGCACTAAATTCCCTTGACAATAATCTCCATAATTGGCTTCTTGAGAACCACAAAAAGAAAAGAAAAATGGAAAGGTGTTGAATGGCCTGTTGTTTTCACAGCTAGCATCTGGCATATTTGGAAGGATAGGAACAAGGAGTTTTTCGAAAGAATTCAAACTCCCTCTGGTATCACTGCCAAAAATGCTTGGCTTTTGGCACAGAAAATTAATTGGCCTTCCTTGATAACCTTGAGTGTAAAGATCACTGCTCTGAGAACCTCATTAATTGGTCTTTCCCTCTTATAGGTTGGATGAAGTTGAATGTTGACGAATGCTCTAAAGGGAACCCTGGACCTACAACGATTGGAGGACTTGTTAGAAATGATAAAGGAGTTTGGCAGATTGGATTCTATGGAAGACTCCCTAACTGTTCTAGCCTTCAAGCAGAAACTCTGGGCAATTTACAAAGGCCTTTAGTTTACTTAGTCTAAGGGAATGACAAATGTCATTGTGGAAACAGACTCCCTGGATGCCCATAGACTCCTAACAACAAGTTTGGAAAAAACTCACCCAGAAAGAGGGATCATTGCTGAATGCAAGAGGCTTCTCTCCTTCCTTAATTGCCCCCTCTATCACACTCGGAGAGAAGGGAACTGCAGTGGTGAAATCCATGCAAATTTGGGTGTCAAGCAGGATGATGGTTTGGTGCTCCTCAACTCCCCACCTAGCCCTATGACTAAGTTTTTGAGAAATGATTGTACTAGTGTCTCCTACGTGAGAGGCTTTTGTTAGTTTTTGAACCTTTCCAATGTACCGAACAAATATATATATATATTATAAGTTAATAAAAATATATTTTTAAAAATTAAATTTCATAACTTATTTAAAATTTGTTATAAAACACAAAAAATTGAGAAGGCATTTGCCTTGGACAAAACAAAAAATGTTGGGAAGGCATTTCTATGCCTTTGAAATACAATCCCATGTCGGTAAGAAGTGAGTACGGGTGCTTTCCTGCAATATGTTGAGATAGTGATGTGTAGGATGATGAACTTGAAACGATCAAAAGGTTAGAAAAGGGGTCGGGTAACACTCGTCTAATTCTCTCCAAAACTCAAGTCAGTCGGCATGGGAGTCATTAGCATTGTGTATTTTCTGGATTTAGTTTGCGTACATTTGTTTATCTTTCTGAGGGGTCTTTATACTTGAGCAAGTAATGATTGCATGATCTTTGAGTCCCATCTGCACATTTAATGGTTCGCACTCGCATCCATGTGTAATTAATGTTGTCCCATCAAATCCTCTTAAGACCGATTCACTTGGGCAATCAGAACCCTGTTCGGCACATGCTGAGCCTTAATGGCCTTATCTCCAACCATTAAATATCACTGCTCAGTACTTGACATGCGCCTAAGCGTTCATTGTGTGGGAATAAGCACCCCTTAGGTTTCACTAAGGATAGAAAGTTGGCACCTTCACAATTAATGCTTTGTATTGATGACTGCCCTCACACTTCTCGAGGACCTAGATGCGAATTTAATGAATTGTAGCCACTTATGATCCTATTTAATGAGCTATAATGTCTTCTTTAATACCATGTCTCGGCAGGTGTACTCGGCCTCCCCAGGCTTTAACTCCTCGGCTCCACCTCCAGATGCCCTTTGCACCCCACACTGGCTACAATGATCCATGTGTCGACATTGCGGCTACTGAGCTGCCTAAAGTCCCATCAACTGCCCCCAGCCTCCGTTTTCCTTGTGTCATGGGACAGGTGTCACACGGAGAGTGGAGGCTTCCTTAGGACGTCTAGGATTTGGGGGCGGTTAACTGCACGTTCAGCGCCGAATTTTTCAAATTTGCACTTGATGTTTTTGCCTCTTTGATTCCCGCCTATGAAGTAATCAATAAAATAAGGAGATTTGTGGCTCATTCGAGTCTTCTTGGACCTTCGAACTCCAAACTGAAATTACTTCCTAACTAGTTCTTCATCTTCCCCCTGACCAAATCCCTAGAAGCCATTGAATCTATAAGTACTTCTTTGTCGATACTTCCCCATTCTCTTCTACTCCTCCATTAGGACTCCCAATGGCCAACATAAGAAGGACCAGGGTTATAGAGGAACCTTTTAGGTCCAGGGCAGATAGGGAACCTCCTAGGCCTCGAACACACAAGGAACCTGTTAGGCCTAGCGATACAGGTTGTCTGAGGAGAACCCAGGTGACTGATGCCAACTTGCAGGCGTTCAGAGCCACCTACAATATCTCCGAGCCTGTCTTTACTTTTGTTTTTGACCCCGTGTTCCATTCGGCCATTGTGGGCAGCATAGAACTAATGCCCTTCCATACCAAGGCCATTATAGAGGGGGTTAGATTTCCCCTTCCTCCTCCTCTGTTAAGAGTCCTCATGCACTTGAAGCTTTTTCCTATTCAGTGTTGCATTAGCCTTTTTAGGATAGTCATGGGTGTAGTAGCCCTAATGCTTGGCTTGGAGTAAACCTTGGGATAGATAAGATTCTGTTCTACTATGACTTAAGCTAGTCAACGGCGACAGATACTACTTACAGGCTCGGGACCCCTTCATGTAATTGGTGATGCATATGCCCAACCTTAACAAAGGGATACACACAAGATCTCATCATGCTTGATGATAGATGGGAGAAGGGTGAAGGACTTGAGTATGACAACCTCTACTGCCCAAAGTACCGAGGGATCCAGGTGGGTCTTTAGCCAATTCTTTCACCGGTAGGCCGTCATTTTTGCTCCTCATTTTGTCTGATCATGTGTTATTCTCTGCCAAAAGGATATAAGAAGGACGCTGCCCAGCCTTTGAAATCCTTCATTGTCTTCGAAGATCTCATCAAAGTCTGGTCCTACAATCCTAGCGATCCACTTGCTTGGGCAACCCACGTACTCCTTGACTGCCACCCTGGTTACACTAGGTTTTCTCTAATTCCACCACCCTTTATCTGGGTGGACTGCTCCTCAGAAGAAGAGGAAGAAAAAGATGAAGAGGAGAACCTTGAAGAAGACCTTAATCGCAACTCAGAATCCATTCCATCTCCTCCATCCGAAATGTTTCACATCCCTCCTATCACCGCATAAATTTTGGAGGCAGCCTTTGAAGCTCGGAGGGCTCTGATCTCGGGGCCCGGTGGTCCTTCTGGCATGTCACTGATCTTTGAGCCTCTGTCTCCCACTCCTTTGTGCCAACAAAAACACCAACAGCAGCAACAACAACAATAAGGGCAAGAAGTCCCCTCGAGGGTTCAGGATTAGCGCTGAAGGCACCAAGAGGAACCCTTGGAGCCAAGTGATGATCGGTAGAGGTAGCGCCGAGGTCGAGATGCCAACCCAACCACCGAGCATCGTGTCAAACAGCAACACAATGTCTCGGCGCCCTCAAGTCCTACAGAATGGCCCCCTGGCCGTCACTAGAAGGGGAAAAGTTGTCTTGGAGTTTGATTCCATCATCCACTCCCTGGATGTGGCTCTGGCTGTTAGCAAGGCTTTGCTCTTTGATGCTGACATGGTGGTTCTAGAAGATTATGTGGATAATCAACTCCTCCAGGGGTTGATACAACACAACTTGGTGGTAAGAAGCCTTGACATTTTCTTCGCCTTCAACCTTTTTTCTATTATGACTACATCTCAATGTTTACACCTTCCACTTTTAGGCTTGCCAGCAAATGCGAGTCATCATCGACCACTTCTGGTCTTACAAAAGCCGGGATGACAAGGCTAAAGCCAAGCTTGCCAAGATGGACACCCATATTGGCCAAATGGAGAAGACGGTGGCCGATCAGTCTCAGAGCATTGTCGACCTGATCCATAAAGCCGAAGCCCTCATTGTTGAGCTTGACAAGAGCAAAGAAGCCAAGGCCAAGGCAACCAAGAGGATGGAAGAGGCCGAGTTGAAAGTTTCTATAGTTGAGGCAAAGTTGCTTGAAACTGAGGCAAATTACGCGGCCCTAACCTCCAAGGTGGAGGCATTGGAAGATGAGAAAGCTGGAGAGGCCGGGAGGTTGAACACGACCTGTATGGATATGTGGCAGCAGTGTAATGAATAGTTCATCCTAGCCTTTGATGATGGAAAGAGAAAATCTTTCAAACAAGGTTGGGACGAGCCGCTTGAGGCTTCTGGGGTTGCTGTCGAATCCAAGTTGTACGCCATGCTTGTCTACCAGCCATAACAGCAAGTCACCGAGTTCGAGGCCCCAACATACGACGTTCCAAGTGTTGAGGTGGCTCCCACAGAGGGACCTGACGAAACAAGAAAGGGAGAGTGTGGCAAGGATAGTGCCGATAACTGTTAGTGATGAATCAGAGGAAATGTCTCCTCTTTGGCTCCCTTCCCCCACTCTTTCGACGCACCAAGGGGATCCAACTATCCCTGGTACCCTCGTCATCAACCTAGATGGTGCCGACTCTAGGGAGTTGGATGAAATCCTTGGTGTAGGCGAAGGATCTTTGATGAGGCATTAGGTAAGGCTCGTCGGTGAGGAGTTCAGAGGTGACCTTGGTGAACCTACTGATCCTAAGGACCTGTAGAATTTTCTATACTTGTGCACTTCTTTTTTGTATGCTTGGGGGATGCACGACCCCCATTTGATCAATGCAATTTCCTTTCTTTCTTTTGCAATGTCTTGTTTATCCCTTTTCGAGGGTAGTGCTCCATGGAGGCTTACCCATCTCAGGTTCGTACCCCTAGCAATCGAGCGCAGGGCTCATGTTAATTCTCTTCGTGGGAGGTCCTCCAAGGATGGAGGCTTACCCGTCTTGGAGCTGTACCCCTATCGAGGTCGTACCCCTAACGATCGAGCATAGGGGCTCTTGTTAATTCTCTTCGAGGGCAGTGTTCTATGGATAAAGGCTTACCCTCTCGGGGTCGTACCCCTAACGACTAAGCACGGGGCTCGTTTTAATTCTCTTCAAGGGCGATGCTCTAAGGATGGAGGCTTATCTCTCCTGGGGCCATACTCCTAACAACCGAGTGTGGGGCTCGTGTTAATTCTTCTGAGTTGGCTCTTGAAATCAACTTAGTAGTAATATTTTTTCAAATTTGATACATTTCAAGGTCGATTTACATCTTTATCATTCATATCTTGTAGCCAATATGCCCTTGTGCCTCCTATGGCCATGATTTTATACGGACCTTCCTAATTTTTCCCATCAGTGGACTCTCGCGTGTTGCCCACAACTTTGCACAATACCAAGTCTCCCACTTGAAAACTTTTTGTTCAGACTTTCTTTTGATGTTGTTTCAATAATTTCCCTTGATATTTGGCCAACTATATAGATGCTAATTCCCTTCTTTCCTCAATCAAATCGAGGTCCCTGGTTAGTGCTCCATCGTTGTTTCCCGACTCGAAGGCTTAACTTTGTATAATGGGGAATCCTACCTCCAAAGGTATAATAGCCTCAATGCTGTATGTCATGGCATAAGAGATTTCTCTTGTAGAGGTCCTCAGGATGGTTCTGTACGCCCAAAGGACATTGAGCAGTTTCTCGATCCATCTGCCCTTGGCTCTTTCTAACCTCTTCTTTATCTCAGCCAACATCGTCTTATTGAAAACTTCTGCCTACCTATTACATTGAGGGTACACCAGGGTGGAATACTAGTTGCGTATTCCAAATCCTGACCTAAATTTCTTGAATGGCCTGCTGTTGAACTGGGTGCCGTTATCGGAGACGATGGCTCGGGGGATGCCGAACCGAGTGATATATTCTGCCAGACGAATTTTCTTCGTTTTCGCATCCCGAATACGACTTAAGGGCTCGACCTCAATCCACTTGGTGAAGTAGCAAGTGGCGACTAAAAGAAATTTCTTGCCCAACAGAGTCCTCAATAGAGGCCCTACTATATCTATGCCTCACTGAGAAGATGGTCAAGGACTTGTCAAAGGGTTTACATTCCCTGCCAGTTGTCAGATGATCGGAGCAAACTTTTGGCACTTGTCATATTTCTGAATATACTGCTTGGCATCTTTCAACATGCACGACCAATACCCTTGAGACATCACCCAGTGTGCGAAGGATCTTCCTCCCGTGTGGCTCCCACATATTCTCTCATAAAACCTCGTACAACAGTGGTTCCACCTTATCTTCGGGAACACAAAGCAGATACGGTCCCGAGAAGGATCTCTGCTATAGCTTGTGAACGGGGGATATCCAAAATCTGGGAGCTTTCATCTTGACCTTCCTTGTTTCTTTGGGATCTCCGGGGAGTGTTCCGTTCATTAAGTACTCAATTATGGGGTTCTTGTAGCTTAGCGACATACTCTGAGTGCTCATTGACAAGACCTCCTCAGCATTTTCAGTCCTTTATGCTCGAACTTTCGAGCTAGTCGATGATGATGCACTGAGTTACTTCTGAAGCCAAGGTCGAAGCTGGGCAAGCTAACGCATCGGCATGGTTGTTGTGATCTCTAGAAATTTGGGACACCTCTATCTTTTGGAACCTCTCTATTTTTTACTTTGCTCTGCGGTGATAAGCTTTCATCCTATCATCCTGGACCTCAAAGTCCTTGTTAACTTGATTTACCATCAACTGTGAATCATAGAAGATCTAGAGGCGCTTCACACCGATCGAGTATACGATATATAGCCCAATCAATAGTGCCTTATACTTGGCGTCATTATTGGATGCTTTGAATCCAAGCTAATAGCTCGTTCCACTGTAAATCCTTCAGAATTGGCCAAGACTACACCCACACCTGCCCCCTTGCGTTCTAAGAGCCATCCACATGCAAACTCTACACGTCGTCATGGCCCAAAGTTATCAACTCCCATTCGGGTGGAGACTCGGACGCAAAATATTCGATGATGAAATCAGCAAGGATCTGCCCTTTGATAGAAGTACGGGGCTTGTAAATTATCTCGAACTCCCCTAGCTCCACGACCCACTTGGACACTCTCCTAAACATATTTGCTTTGTAAAGTATGGGCTTCAGGGGCCGATCGGTCAAGACCTCTACGGGATGCTCCTGGAAGTAGTGCCAAATTTTCTTAGTCGAGACGACCAAAGCTAGTATAAGCTTTTCCATTGGCAAGTACCTAGTCTCAACATCAAGCATGGTCATGCTTACATAATAGACCGGTCTCTACACCCCGTTGAATGCTCTTATCAGGGCACCACTGACAGCCCACTCTGAGACAAACAGGTAGAGTGTAGGACATCACCTGCCATTAGAATCGATAGGGTCGGAGGAGACCTTTAGTACTCCTTGATTCCCTCTAGAGCCCGATCGCATTCTTCACCCGAGGACTGCGATATCGAGCCTAATCAACAGTGCCTCATACTTGGCCTCATTATTAGAAGCTTTGAATCCAAGCTAGTAGCTCGTTCCACTATAAATCCTTCACAATTGGCCAAGACTACACCCACACCTGCCCTCTTGCGTTCTAGGAGCCATCCACATGCAAACTCTAAACGTCGTCGTGGCCCAAAGTTATCAACTCCCATTTGGGTGGAGACTTGGACGCAAAATATTCGGTGATGAAATCAGCAAGGATCTTCCCTTTGATAGAAGTACGGGGCTTGTAAATTATCTCTAACTCCCCTAGCTCCACGGCCCACTTGGACACTCTCCCAGACATATTTACTTTGTAAAGTATGGGCTTCAGGGGCCGATCGGTCAAGACCTCTATGGGATGCGCCTGGAAGTAGTGCCAAAGTTTCTTAGCCGAGACGACCAAAGCTAGTATAAGCTTTTCCATCAGCAAGTACCTAGTCTCAGCATCAAGCATGGTCATGCTTACATAATAGGCCGGTCTCTGCACCCCATTGAACGCTCTTATCAGGGCACCACTGACAGCCCACTCTGAGGCAAACAGGTAGAGGTGTAGGACATCACCCGCTGTAAGAATCGATAGGGTCAGAGGAGACCTTTAGTACTCCTTGATTCCCTCTAGAGCCCGATCGCATTCTTCACCCGAGGAATGCAATATTGAGCCCAATCAATAGTACCTTATACTTGGCCTCATTATTGGATGCTTTGAATCCAAGTTAATAGCTCGTTCCACTATAAATCCTTCAAAATTGGCCAAGACTACACCCACACCTGCCCCTTTGCGTTCTAGGAACCATCTACATGCAAACTCTAAACGTCGTCATGGCCCAAAGTTATCAACTCCCATTTGGGTGGAGACTTGGACGCAAAATATTCGGTGATGAAATTAGCAAGGATCTGCCCTTTGATAGAAGTACAGGGCTTGTAATTATCCCAAACTCCCTTAGCTCCACGTCCCACTTTGACACTCTCCCAGACATATTTGCTTTGTAAAGTATGGGCTTCAGGGGCCAATCGGTCAAGACCTCTATGGGATACGCCTAGAAGTAGGACCAAAGTTTCTTAGACGAGACGACCAAAGCTAGTATAAGCTTTTCCATCGGCAAGTACCTAGTCTCATCATCAAGCATGGTCATGCTTACATAATAGACTGGTCTCTGCACCCCGTTGAACGCTTTTATCAGGGCACCACTGACAGCCCACTCTGAGACACACAGGTAGAGGTGTAGGACCCCACCCGCCGTCAGAATCGATAGGGTCGAAGGAGACCTTTAGTGCTCCTTGATTCCCTTTAGAGCCCGATCGCATTCTTCACCCAAGGAATGCGATATCGAGCCCAATCAACAGTACCTCATACTTGGCCTCATTATTGGATGCTTTGAATCCAAGCTAATAGCTTGTTCCACTATAAATCCTTCAAAATTGGCCAAGACTATACCAACTCCTGTCCCCTTGCGTTCTAGGAGCCATCCACATGCAAACTCTAAACGTCTTCGTGGCCCAAAGTTATCAACTCCCATTCAGGTGGAGACTCGAATGCAAAAAATTTGGTGATGAAATCAGCAAGGATTTGCCCTTTGATAGAAGTACGGGCTTGTAAATTATCTCGAACTCCCATAGCTCCACGGCCCACTTGGACACTCTCCCAGACATATTTGCTTTGTAAAGTATGGGTTCCAGGGGCCGATCGGTCAAGACCTCTATGGGATGCGCTTGGAAGTAGTGCCAAAGTTTCTTAGCCGAGACGACCAAAGCTAGTATAAGCTTTTCCATTGGCAAGTACCTAGTCTCAGCATCAAGCATGGTCTTACTTACATAATAGACCGGTCTCTGCACCTCGTTGAACGCTTTTATCAGGGCACCACTGACAGCCCACTCTGAGACAGACAGGTAGAGGTGTAGGACCTCACCCGCCGTCAAAAGCGATAGGGTCGGAGGAGACCTTTAGTACTCCTTGATTCCCTCTAGAGCCTGATCACATTTTTCACCCGAGGATCCTTTTTTTGCCCCCTTAAGCATGGTGAAGGATGACTTGTACTTGTCCGAGGAATTAGAAATAAATCGGTTGAGAGTTGCCAGCATTTTGGTTAATTTTTGTATGTCCTTGACAGT